AAGTCTCTGATTGGGCAGAAAAACACAAAGATTTTCTGGCATCAATCAGATGCCAGAACGAGTGCGACCGTTTGGAACTAGTCTTGTAAGACAATGTCCCCAGTAGCTTTTCATGCCCTAACTTGAAATCGACCCACAGCCCCTGGGTCTCCGAGGATGGTTTTACACGAACCTCGCAAACTTTTAAACACGTTCTCTTGTGATACCTGCGAAAGTATTCAGTATAATTTCCGGTAAGATTTCGCGGACAATCTGATCGATTTCTCTTACATTGTGTGCTGAGACTGAAACTTTTCACCTCGGGCAAAGCTTCGTCGCACGGCCCAAACAAACATAGCGAGCAACAGAGCTTGTTCTATATGAGTGTGTTAAAACACACGAAAGGACTCCAAAGGACACTTCTCTCTGATTGGGCAGAAAAACACAAAGATTTTCTGGCATCAATCAGATGCCAGAACGAGTGCGACCGTTTGGAACTAGTCTTGTAAGACAATGTCCCCAGGGGCTCCTCTGCCCTTAACTTGAAATCGACTCACAGCCCCTGGGTCTCCGAGGATGGGTTCTTACATTTGCACATGTAAAGTGGGATACACTGGCGATGGACACTCATGCTCAGGTAATTTTAAAGATGATCTAGTGGATGCTTTCCGAATAACTGCTTTAGGATTCTTTTTGTTTTTTTGGTATATCGTATCATATCATTATACAGCATTACCCATGCATGTTTTCGTAAAGTTACCATGATGTTCGTCTGGCTTGTTTCAAGGCTGGTGTGTTGATAGATTTAAAAAAGATCTTTGTGCTGAATGATATACGAACAACAGATTGTATACTTGTACTTGTCACCACGGATTTACAGGAAATGGACGCAACGGTACGGGTATTAGATTCCTTCCTTTTTTAAACCCCCCATATTAGAAAGAAAAGTACTATCATCTTAGCAAGACTTGTTTTACCAGCATGCCTTAAAGAAAATAGCGACGGGTGTAGGCCTGGAGACAATGCCGACAATAACACAAAAATATTAAATAAACATCGCGTGATAAAAAATCTTAATGACACAAATCATTGTATTAGTGGTGAAAAATCTCAACTGGTAGAAGGCAGACTTGATGATTACTAGTCGGTAAGAACTACGTATGTAAATTTTAACCTTGATATGCTGGAAATGGACAAAACTGTACAAGTGAAGTTAGTCTCATTGTAATCAAATCATGACCAGAATTTTTCAACATAACGCGTTGACTATAATGCCGCGCTATTCAGCCGCGTTACTAGAGAATTAGAAAATATATCACTCATGACCCGTTTAAGTTTAAGGAGCCGTCAGGAACTCTTAGGTTTTGTTCCTGACTTGTAAATGAAACATTTTAATAACTGATGCATTTTTATTCTGATTTGGAACTTAGTCAGTAAACTAAGAGCAGAATCATTTTATACAAAGTTTGGTTCCAGGACCTAAAACCTTCCTTTTTGTTTAGATGCTTTCTCCGTGTAATGTTTTCTTTCGACAACTTTCTGATTAGATGTCGATGAATGCAAAGGCGGCAATAACCTCTGTGACGAGATTGCAAATTGCTCCAATACTGTTGGGTCTTATAGTTGCACCTACAAAGATGGATTTACTGGAGATGGACATTCATGCTCAGGTAAAATGAAAACCTACAGTCGTCTCGAGGAACAATACTCAAATCGTTTCGCACGAAGGCAATGGAGATTTTGAAAAAAACAACAAACAAAACAAAACAAACAAAAAAACCGGTTTGCTTAACTTAATTCCTGGTCATCCACTTTATTTTTGTATCCAAAAAGTTACGTTGACATTCCTACTGCCTCCAGATATCTATGAGTGCAGCAATGGAAGCCATGTTTGTGATATGAAAGCCAACTGTACCAACACTAAGGGCTCTCGTAACTGCACCTGCAAGAAAGGGTTCATTGGAGATGGGCAATCATACCGAGGTAATTCAAATTAGCATCAGAATCCGACTCTACATAAAAACTATCACCTTAGTAGCTGTTATTTCTTGGATTTTTTAATGCTGTTCCATCTATGAGTTGAATATGGTTAGTTATGTGGACACTTCTCTATCTATCATTTATTTTACGAAACTCACGGAAGTCGCCTATTTTGTTTTTATGTTACAGCTAATATACTTTTCAGCGATATATTTTTGTGCATTTATTTGTTTGTTTGGTGTTTTGGGGTGTTTTGCTTCTATATATCGATGAGTGCAATAATGGAGACCCTCTCTGTGACGTCAATGCGAACTGTACCAACACTAACGGTTCCCACAACTGCACCTGCAGGGAAGGATACATCGGAGATGTACAGTCATGCCAAGGTAAGTTTGAGCTACCATCAGGCGAGCGAATAATGAGTCAGAAATACAACTTCACTCGCACGCAATATCAGAGAATCCTTAGCATTAAACGAAGCATCTTTAGCAGGAACTATTATTCCTATTAAGCGCTACGTCTTGCATCATGACTCCTTGCATGTTTACGCAAGGAGTCACAATTATCCGGCCACATTTTGCTTGTTTCAGAGCCATCATATTGGTGGGTTAAGACATATTTGTGCTGAAACGTTTGTTTACAATATCTAATTCGTAAAACACAAAAAGGAGAAACCTTTGTTTTATGTTTTGCAATGATTAATAGCATCGTGCGACTGAGAGTCTTCATCCATTTTAAGGTGACAAAAATAAAAAAAGAGTGCAAAATATATTTATGGTGTCTCAGATATTGACGAATGTAATGGAAATCACTCTTGTCACGTGAATGCTACCTGCACGAACACCAATGAATCGTACGTTTGAACTTGTAAGTTCGGATATACTGGATATGGACACAGTTGTACAGGTACTTAATGTCTTTTATTGTGACCCTTCACATTCGAGAGAAAAGTAATATCCTTACCCAAAGTGTATACTAATGATTTCATATTTTTCCAGGTAGAAAGGGAAAACATTGTGGGCCTGTTGGTGTAGCAGACAATAATATAACTCCAGATGCCAGAATGACAGCAAGCAGTATTTTCACTTATCATCATGCTTCATACCTCGACCGAGTGAATGAGACTAGGCGATTTGGAAAGTGGTGTCCTAAGACTAAATTAGATAAAACCGACTACCTTCAAGTAGATATGGGTTCAGTGCTGTCTGTTTGTGCTGTGGCTAGTCAAGCAGAAGAAGAAACTTTAATATGGACTTCCAGCTACAAACTGTGCCTATCCACAGACGGTTTGACTTGGAACTCTTACGAGGAGGCAAATAAAACAAAGGTTTGAGAATATCAGTAACTGAAGAGTTGATTTGATCAACAACTCAGTTAGTAATGGTAATAGGGGCAAGGGGACTCCAACTTGGTCCGTGAATTACGTGAGTGAGTTACAATATTGTATCACCGCATGCAAGAGTGTGAAATGTTGTTATTCACAAGTATGGTTATTGATTTTATGGTAGGACCGAAAGTCTCGGGACCAGTGAAACAGAAATATTGCAAAGTTGGAGAAAAAAAACAGTCGTCTGTTAAACGCTTTAAAAAAAGATAGCATTACCTGTTTTTTAAAAGAAAATGGACCATATGTCTAGGAGGTTCGGAAAGGACTACATTTGACATTTTTTAAGTAAATTTCAAAGAGCTTGTGGTGAATACGGATAATTTGTAAGCAGATATAAGGCTAAGGAAATCTTGTCATCTTTAACATTTCCTATGGGTATAGGAGGGTGAGTATTGAACGAGCGATCAAAAAAGAAAAGTGACAGAAATTTTACTCCGTTTGGAAAATTCAGGCTGCAGCAAAAAAAGAGCACAAAATTGTGTTAAAGATGTGAGCTGTTGAGACCAAGTCAGATGCCCCCTCCCTCCCCTCCCTCATCTACCAGCACCTCCTTACCTAAATGGAATGTAGAATCGGTGAACTACCACAAAGTATTCAGTTTCTCTTTTTTGTTTTTTTCTCGGTTTGCTTTATTGCAGGTGTTTCAAGGAAACTCAGATCAAACAAGCATCGTTAGGCGTTCACTTATAACTGACTTCAAAGCCGTATACGTTCGGTTTTATCCTGTCTCATACAATATCTGGCCTTGTTTAAGGGTGGAAATATATGTGTTTAAGTAATACATTTAAGATGTCTATTAGCAAAAAACACAGTTTACACTTGGAAAATAAAAATTACTAAACAAAATCCTTTTTTTTTTGTTTAACAATCTAACCACTACACACCTTTCGCTGCATTATAATGAAACAGTTACAAATGATAAACGTAAAGTGAAAAGGTATTATAGATCTGTTCTGAAAGTTGTGTTTAGTCTCTGTCGTTTATTCATTTCGTCATTTTTCGATAAGTTGCTAGTTTTATGCAAACAATATCAGTAGATACAGAGCAATCGAGATTCCTGAAGTGTGGATACCTGCAACTTAAGGGCGGATTATAGAGTAAATTCTCAGTTCCACCATTTAAAGGCAGACTAGTCAGCCCAGCCAACAACAAATCAGACCTGTGGCGAAGCAACTTCATCTTGGAGCCTCAATGTAGAACGACAAGAGCGCTCTAAAACATACCAATAGCAACTCACTATGCCACAACAGTAGCAACAGGTAACTATTCAACGTCATTGCCTGATGAAGACAAGCACTTAAGCATTGATAGAATCGCAATTTACATTGGGTAGCTTGACTCCACAAATAATAGATGATCTTTATTATGAGAAAAACGGTTACCCTTAACGGTCATTTATTACCTAAGATCTGCTTTTTGAAGCACTTGGTTATAATTAATGAATTAAGACGTAACTATCAGATGACATGTGAAATTCCCATCATGAAAAGGAAAGAATGGTGCTACATATGCTAAGGAATATGTATTTTGAAAGGGTTTGCACCATTTCGTCTGGAATCACTTGTTATGATTATCTTTGAAATAGAAATAACGCAACAAACGAAAGCCGAGAACAACTCTGAATTTCAAACTAAGTTAAACTATAACTTTTGCCGGGATAACTCTAGGTTGGCAATTATAAATAATGTCAAATAAAACAATAAAAAAAAATAAAAAATAACTTACAAACCAACAAACAAACAAAGGAGAAAAAATTCGAACCTCCTAAAACCTTATGTTTCTTTTAGCAATATACCATTTAATAGCATGGACATTTAATTAGAAATCCTACGATCTATCAGTATTTCAATTAATATGATTAGTAGCTAATTCTCAAATCGCCTACATGAGAATTTAGATTTAATTCACATCAAATGTTTATGAAAATGAACCTTACAAGATGTAGGCCAGAGAAATCGGGATAGAACTGTGCATAGTTTGGGAATACTTAAAACCTGATGCAACTGTAATTTAGAACAGTAGTTTGTTGTAAAAACGATGATCTTTCAAGCTGGGTTGATCTGGAATATCAGTGTTAGAAAATATACCATTAGAGCATACCCCTATGGTAACGTTAGTTTTTTCAAGTTGCTTTTGTGTTGCACATAGGTCAACATAAATAACATAAGTATTGTTAACACTGCTAGTTTTGTTTGTATATTTTACGTTAAAATCCTAGTAAGCAGAATTAGTGGACTTATCAGGAACCACTGTGGCATATTAACTTTGAATATAGCTTAAATTGTTTTTATTTTTCCTTCGAGATTGATCAGTTGCCCATTACAGGTCAAAGTTGAATACTCATGACGAACTTTGCTCGACAAAAAAAAATTCTCGCCAGGAAAGCGCAAAATGGTCCATAGGCTAGTCAATGTAAAGCGAGAGGACTTCATTAGCAAGAGAAGGAGAGGCGTTTATCTTCGAACGTAAAATTAACCAAAGTTGACAATGAAACAATTTCCAGGCACGAGGATCCGTGCGGCTTGCGCGTTAACAAGTGTTCCTTAAAAATAGGACCCTCTCGCACAATTTACTCTTTGTAAGCTCTAACTATATATTACTTCGCGGGAAAGAAATTCTACACGTTGGCCTGACCATTTTTATATCATAATAAAGTTGTATGCCCGACGAATTCCATTTAGAGCTATTTGATGATGCGTAATAAATCTCGCTTCTTAAAAATGATGATGCCTAGTCGTTTTATCAGCAAAACATGTGAGATTAACTTTTGCTTCTATGCGTTCGGAGCAAGAAAAGGAATCATTTCTATGGCAGTTAAATGGAACATGCTTAAAATCACATGTTGTATTTGGATCGAGAGATGAACTAATTATGGAATGAGCCCTGACATCAAAGCTCAAGTATTCCCTCCCAATAATACGACGGGCTCTTGGCAGGTTAGTGTGATTTCTAAGAAATTGTATTGTACTATTCCATAGTTTCAAAAGCAGAATCCTAAGCATGCTGTAATTGTTTTTGTAACTTTCCTTTCCATTCTCTTCGGTAATCAATTTACAATATCACCCATTCTTATCTGAGAGAAGAGCCTTTATTCAATTTTTCCCCCTTTTTTATCGTTCGGTTTTACCACCCGGTTCGCCTGGCTCCGTTTCACTTGGGGAGTCAGTCCTATTTGGGGTTTCGTTATCTGAAAGCAGAAATTTTCATTTTTTTTTCTCCTGGTTCTGTCTCTGTCGGATAGACAATCCTATTTGGGCTTTTGTTATCTGAAGGCAAAACCTTTATTTTTTTTTTTTTTTGCCTGGCTCTGTCTTTCTTGGGTAGTCGGTCCTATTATGTTTAGGCTGTTGTTATTTAAAGGCCAGATGGCAGAACCTTTTATTTTTTTTTTTTGCCTCGACAACTTCGGTTTCCTTCCAAAAGTTCTCCCATTGAAATAACAAATTGTCATATATGTACCTTGCACTTATTGAATGTAGAGAGAGAGAGAGTTCTCCTCACCTCGCTTTCATACTCTTTTGCGTGCAAGTTCCTGGATTAATCTTGTATTTTAATTTGGTTATAATAACTAGGTTGATATTGTAAATGGGCCACCGTAACAATTTAAAAGAACTGACGTTTCGAGCGCTAGCCCTTCATCATTCGCTCTGACGAAGGGGTAACGCTCGAAACGTCAGCTTTTTAACTCGTTACGGTGGCCAATTTACAATTTGAACCTAGTTGATATAACTAAATTACCTTGTTACCGCCACCGACGCACTATCACAGTTTCTTTAGAATCTTTTACCCTATATTCTTCAATTTTGTGTTTGGTTCTGTTCCACAGACAGAAAACGTCTTTACTTTACTTCCTCCACCATTGCGATTTTTGTGGTGGTTTTGAAAGAACCGTCTCTTGTACGGCCTCCGTCAAATGACCACAAAACAAATCCCGGTCACACGAGCAGAGTTTTTTGGTAAATGTAGCGTCTCAATAAGGGAACAGTAAAGGAAACAAAACATGCTGATATCACGAAAGATTGTGATCAGTTAGCGAACAGCGAAACCAGGGTGATATTCACCCAGTGAAATAAGTGATTTCCCCCGATAGGAATGAAATCGTACATGCAACTTACAACATATAAATGGTAAGAAGTCGAGGTATGAGATACAATGAAATATATGAAGTTCATATATTTTGTACTGCGGTATTAGAACATATGATACACGATCCTCGCAGTAGATAGCGCTATTTAAGCAATAGCGAAGATCAGATCTGAAAAAAAATCAGGCCTGTACGGGACTCGAACCACTGACCTCTGCGATACTAGTGCAGCGCTCTACCAATTGAGCTAACAAGCCAACTGGGAGCAGGCCGTTAAGTTGGTTCGTAATAAACCCGTGAATATGATAAATAAAATACAATGAAATATATGAAGTTCATATATTTTGTACTGCGGTATTAGATACATATGATACACAATCCTCACAGTAGATAGCGCTATTTAAGCAATAGCAAAAATCAGACCTGAAAAAAATAGCGCTATCTACTGCGAGGATCGTGCTTAAAATAGCGCTATCTACTGCGAGGATCGTGTATCATATGTAAGTCGAAGTATATTGCAAAATTAAAAACGCGTATAAATACAGCGAGGTTTACTCAACCGATTTTGGCGTCCTTTCTTTGTTTGGTAAACCCTATGTTTCAAACACAAAGAATGTCGACGTGAGGTTTAACACGAATTTCGTTCTTATAAACATGATTCGCAATCAAAGCTAATGACTTATGTTAAACAGAAGGTTAGATCTTGCTGTTTATTGATCGTTTAATTGTTATGATGCGATATTATTCATTCACACATGACGTCTTTAGTCAAATCGCCACTGGTGGCGATTTCACTTTGAGTGCAGGCAAGTTTTGTGGTGGCGAGTATGTTGTGATGGCGAATTGACCGTAAACC